TGAAGGAGTGACGTTACTGTGTAATGAGATACAATAAGCAATCGCTTGGTGTGGTCTGGTTTCACAGTGCAATTGACAGGACCCCCTGATACGCTGATTGGGAACAATTAGCATCAGGTGAGCAGCGGCTAACATGGTTTTTGAGTGAGTAGGTGATGAGTGCATGTCTTATTCACATGTGTGATTGGTGGGTGGGTGAAGTCATCATCATCCAGCCCAGAAGTCCCAGGAGTCCCCCACCCCTCCTCTCTCTCTCTCTCTCCTCTCTCTCTCTCTCCTCTTTCTTTCCCTCTCTCTGCTCTCTCTCACACACCCACACACACACACACACACACACACACACACACACAAAATCTTCCTCTCTCATAAACACACACAACCATGCATACACAGGCAGCTTTGCCAGATACATTTGGCAAGCAAGCTGTATTGAGTGGGGTCACTATGAACCAGTTTGTATATAAAACATGAATTGCTAGACCATCAGTGAAGCGATCTGCGTTTACTGCACTACGAGGATCACAACAAAATTAGGGTATTGAGCAAAAACACAGTAGAAGCAAATTGACGTCAATAATGAGCCTTTGTCAGAAGCCTGAAAAATGATGTGCTACAACAGGGAGCATTGATTGAGCATGATGGCGTTTAAGATAAGATGAGATGAAAGGAGTTCCCACAGATCGTCTAACCTTGTCTTATCACAGTAGAGATGGGCAATACTTAAGTATTTTATTGTATAATTACATTCAGGAAATTGGATTGTGACAATTTGATCATTTAATGTTATTGTTTTACAAATGTTGGTTCTTCCAAGCAAATTGCAATGAAAAACATTTTTGGTTTACATGAGTATTATTACTAGTGAGATTAGGTAAGGTGAGATGATTTACTTGTTTTTACTTTAGTCTTTCACATTATACAGTAATTCATTATGGTAATGTAATGATAGAGGAACTATATATATATATATATATATATTGCTCTCTCTCTCTCTCTCTCTCTCTCTCTTTCCATATATGTGTCATGTCTCTCCCTCCTGTCTCTTTTTCTGCCCCAGCTGGGCTCTAGTAAGAACAGTTGCTGGCCAGTAGGGGTTTTGGTCTGGCTTGCTGGGTTCTTCAGTACTGGAGTGTCTGAGTCGTGACAAACAGAGAGCGTGTGTGTTAATGTGTGTGTCGGTGCACGTGTATGCACTCGTGTGCCTCTGTGTGTGTTCAAGTGTGTGGGTGTGTGTGTGTGTGTAAAGATAGACTCACAGACCTTTTGTCCCTTTTGGCATTATAGCGCAACATAATATGCAGTCGTTTGGTAGTCTAGTTTAAATAAGAAGCCACAACAAGGTCTACAACTCCTGTTAACAATCCCAAATAGTTTCACATTGACAAAGTGGACTTCATGTAAAGTACTTTAAAAGAGCAGTTCGAGGAAAAAATAGGATGTCAAAGTACAAACATCGTATTTCCATGTTGTACCTGTGGTGGATTAAAGTAGTAATTTTTGTACAATGCAAAACAAGGATGTTTTCTTTAAGCCTAGGGGGCTGCCAAATAAATTTCTATATTTATTTTTAGCTTTTAGGCAGTTGTTTTTTTTTTTTTTTTATAAAAGTGGGTTACAACATCTGAAAAGCTATGTGATTATGGTTTTGAATGGTGTCTATATTGTTACAATAATGAGATTGATGAAGGGCATGCAGCACAAGACTTCATTTAGGAGTAGACCGAATTAACATAACTCATTTATAATATGCATAATAGACTGCAGTGTTTCATGTATTGTTTCTTACATTATACTGTAACGTCTGCTCAGTAATGTCTCTCTAGGACTAAGCTGATAATTTGTAACTGATGCCAACTGTTTTGTGGTGTGTAGTATGACCACGCTTGGATCACTCTCTTGATAGAGCTTTAGTGTTTTTGGATGTTTTAAAATTCCTGCATGTTGCATGTTTTGGTGTCTGTGTTGTGACCTGGCTGCCGAGGGTGCAGTCCGTCCAGTGCATGCTGGGATGGGATCCAGCCTCCGTTGAACCTGAAAGATTTTTGTGTAAAGTGAATATAACAAGATTTTCTCTTAACTTTTGTGAATTCAGAGATAATTTGTGTCCATTCCGGTTATTTATTTAAAAAAGTAACATATCATCACGATTATATAAAATCATCAATGTTTTTAAATCAGATGCGTTTTTGCTCAGCTTTATGTTCAAATGTATTTGGATTTAATACATTAAGGAGGCTTTTCCCTGTGAACAGATTTAAGTTCAGCATACCACAAAAACACCCCTGAGACTAGCAGTGTTCAAGTAAACAAAAAGAGCTCCCCCTGCAGGCGTGTATGTGTGTGTGTGTGTGTGCGTGTGAAAATGGACCATCCCTATTTGCACATGACATTCACATTTCATGTATACTGATATGAAGCTGTGCTTATATTTGCATGAGTGAAATTAGTAGCAGTCTACTTAAAACGATGGAGCTGTCAAAGATTATGAGGCTTAGAAGTGCATTAGGCCTCTGTGATTTCCCAGCGTCTTACAGACTTGACATGAGAAGTGTATTTGAGCCGTAATGGAGGCCATCAAGGGACAGCAGAGCACAAAGGAGGATTTAAGTGCCTTGGTAAATGATAGTAGCTCAAATGTGTGTGTAGATTGTAATAGAGAGAAGGGGGACTCTTGATTTTCTCAAGTCTGTCTTTTGCCATGCTGCAGCACTTGCAACTGCATTATCACTTTTATATAACACCTTGTTTACCAGACTCTTAAACAAACATTATCAACAAAAGAACTGTACACACAGTACTCCAAGATGGAGTATTTTACACGATCAAGGAGTTGAGTGTGATTCAGCATCACAGTGCTTTTATTCTTTCCAAACAACCTCCCTCCCATCCTGAGGGGCTCACATAAAACATGAATCCGCAGTATTAGGCAGATTATCTCATCTGCCATTCAAGATGCAAAGTCATCTCCACTGCATGACAGTTGCACTGTCAGGTCAACTCACTTTATGCCATTTTATGCATCAGCCTAACAACTGTGACAGCTAAGGCAGTCCACAGACGCAACACACACTCACAGGACACGGACATGAACACTGTTATTCAATAATAATTATTATTATCAAGAATTAAGCAATATCTGTTATTAAAAGTACCCATTTCTTTTTGTGCAAGAAACATTATGCACATCAATATGTGTATGTGAATATATGGAGTCAATTAAAAGGAAACCAAAGCTATGCCTAAGCATTAAAAGTAAATGTAACATTAAGCTTACCTTCACATCAATGTGTTTAAGACTTTTGGTCGAATAAAGTTCACAGTGCTTGTTACAACCACATTCATTCATTAAGGAGGGTAGACTTTATTTTATGTCCAGCAGAAATGACAAATGAGCTAAATGACCAGCTTAAGTTAATTCTCTGAGTAGGACAAGCAAAAAAATCTAACTCTTCACTTTTGTGTAGTAGCCATTGTTGAGACTGTAGGTTTAGTGTTGTCTGACAGCTTACCTGCAACATACAGTAGAAATGTGTCATCCACAAACACTTTTAAAGGTAGTAGTATTCTATAGTATTCTAGTGTGCACTAATGTACTGTCTCGCTAAATGAATGTGAGCTATCATCATACATACATTTTTATCTGAAAAAAAGAGATATAAAATATGATTGATAACTTTGTCCATATATCCATTTATTTTTAAAACTGACTCTCTATATACATACATATTATTGTAGCTCAAATGCACACACATGTCGTGATTTATCTCGCAGTTGTCCTCCGTTCAGCCTCCCTCGCTGGTTCAGCAGTTGCTCAGTCTTCTAACTCACAAAAACTGCAATACTTACTCTGGCTTTACTATTCAGTTGCAGTTTTAAATCTAGTTTTAAATCTACAAGGTCACATGCCGGTGATTATTGTGTCAGCCTTTGTTAATAGTTGTGTTGACAGACCCTGTAAGGCAAGGAACCAAAATGATTTAATGCAGTGTTTTTTTAATGCTGCGTTGCAATGACAGAAATCTTTAATGCAAAAAATAAACTAATTTTATCTGTCCGAATCACACAGTGGGGATGCAACAGAGAAGAGCATCCAACCACAATGCCATAGCTTCCAAATGAACCTCGGCTGTCATTATACCGAGTGTGAAGCCCTTTCTGTGTAGGCTACATGAAATAATTAATCAAAAGTAAAGTGGAAAATGCTTACCCTGCTTCAACACAGCAATTGTTACAGTTGTTCCTCATCATGCTCTATCCATTTTTCGCTCTTCTTCATCTTCTTCATCCCCCTACACCAGTTGTTAGTAACATAAAATGTAGGTCAGAGGAGCTCATTCCATTATTTCTGCATTGTGTTGAAGTGTCCGAATTCAACTACCACTTGCTGCCATTTGGTGCCACTAGTTGTCTTCTGCACCTTTAAATGACCCCTCTTATTTTTTGGGAAATACCTTTGCTGGTAATCTTTTCAGTTGAAACTATTGGTTTCATATTTGTCGTCCAGTACAGAGCTTAGTCTGGGACGTCTTTAGTCTTTAGTCTTGCTCAGCACAAATACTGGAAGCTGGAGGAAACTGCTAGTTCTTCTAGAGGTGCCTTCCAAAAACTTCAAAGTTTTGTTATATTTAAAGAAAGCCACTCGGAAAGTCATCATCTGACTGTGAAGCTGAATTACAGTTTTGTCTTATTGAACACAAAAATGAAAATAATTGCAGCAGGGGGGACAGATAGAGGGTGGTAGAGGAAGGGAGCCGTATGTAGATCAGCCCTCCAGCATTAAGGTTGATGTGTTCTTTTCTTTTTTTCTTCATCAGCACCGCCTGCTCTTCTTTTATTTTTAGACGGTTTGACGGAAAGTGGGATGGAGGGAGGAGGAAATAAACGAAGGACAGCTGAAAAAAAAATAGTGATAGTACTACCACAACACTATAGATAGTGTTGTGTAGTGTTTTGCAGTGGACAGGTTTCTGACAGTAGCTTCTGTTTCCTTCAATCTCCAGATTATGTGCCAGCCAGAATGGGACTACAAGAGAGCTCTGAGCAGATCCCAGGTCAGTGCAGCCCAGAGGATAAGGGGAGGAAGGATGTGTGCGTGTTTGGCATAATTTTTTTTCTCAGCTAAATGTAGTAGAATAGCACTGAGTCATTGCTGTGGGGCGTTTTTAAACAACTGATTTTAATTAGTTCACAATTTGACGATTGTTCGGCTGAATAGCTGTAAAGTAGATTTTTGTTGTCGTAACATTAAGCTTTTTAGTAGTCATTGTGAAGGTTCACCTAAACCTTCTGCTGTTATTGCTTCTACATTGGCTTGCTTAGTGACATTGCTTTTTCTTTTTTAACAATTATATATGTTGATTATTTAATATCTATATATAAGATATATTTAAGATTATGTCAATCTTGAATGTTACCTGAATAACTTTTTTTATTACGTATTTTGATTGCCATTTTTCAGCTGGAGTTTTAATTCTGCCAGAAGTCGCTAAGATTATGGATTTTTATCAGAATTTTTTTTTTATTGTAAATATATTACCAGAGATAGCATTATACATTTTCAGGTCACAAATGGAGACTGTTGAAAGCTTATATGTATATATTTGATGTCGCACTAGAACAAGAACATTGGCATCCTTTTGAAATAATCTTTACACCTACCTATTAAATTTAAATCCATCATTTGCCTTAATGCCATGTTTTGGTTTCTAATTAATAAGGGAAATATCTTGCTCTTTTTGGTTTTCCAAACATTTTCTTCATAAGTCACATTTTTGGGTTTGCTTTTATCTCTAACATAATTAACTAAAAGCTGCTGAAACCTACATAGAGCAGCAAAAGCAGGTTGATTTTGATTTTCAGGGGTATCAGCACTGCTATTGACACTTTCACATAACTGGGAGTCAGTTGATTCAATGTTAATATAAACATATTACTAATGCATTACCTTAGCTTAGCTAAGTAGATCGCAAACTGTGGGGCAGAAGTATTTTGGGTGGGAAAAACCAAAGAGGGCTTTCATCATAACAAACCAATCAGGATTCAGGTTAGGAAGATTTAGTCAGAGATCAAGACCACATGTAAAGTACAAGATAGAAGAACAGGCAGTGCTCATCAAGGATTCATGTCAGTCAAAACCCATAATGAAGAAAAATTATGATGGTGGTGATGATGATGGTGATGATGATGATGATGATGATGATGATCTTGGACTAGGGTATCATTCATATAAGGAGCGCCTTGCGTCTTTTGTCTCTAAGAACTGTTGCTGCTTTGAGTTTGACTTGCATTTTTCACTTTCACAAACATAATTCAGTGTAAAAGGAAACATGCAGTTCATCTGAACGATAATGTTATTTTAATAAGAGAATGCTCAGCTTGGCAATTTGTCACAAAATTTCCCCAGATTGTTGGTAAAAAAGTTTCTGAAGCCAAAGGGGGGAGTGCATCAGAAGTTTGTGAACAACTGGTTCAGATTTTTATTAACTTCCAGTGGGTGGGCCTGTCACGTCTCTTCTTATTACCTCCTTTTATTGCCAGATGGTTTGCATGTGTTTTATTTTCGATGAGATTGTAAATTATGTTTACCACATTTTTTTAAATTCTAGTAACCGGTATTAATATTGAAATGGTGAAACACAGAATGTTGCTTGTTGAATAGGTCACACATCCCCCTCTCTGCTAATTTGGGCAGAACAAAAGATTTTAATTGTTATAAGCATGCAATTGAAAGTAAATATAGATCATAAAAATCCAAGTTAATTCAGATAAACTTTGAGAAAAAGTTATTCAGTGAATATTTTAACTGTAGATATCACAGTTTTTTTCCCATGGCTCCCAGATTATAAAACATGACCTTTTTCATTTAAATCATCCATAATTTTCTCTATACTGGACATGCAGCTTCGGCTTTGGCCAACAACAAACCTGCCATCATCAGACTTTTAATGAATCAATACGTACCTCAGTTTCCTGATGTAGAAAGCCCTGTTCTGATAATACACATTACTCTCTGCTCGGTTGTCATGCATCGCCTGCTATCACAGGAAACACTTGACAAGTAGTGGGCGTAGTATAACTGTGGGCAACTGAGCCCCGAACAACTATTTTATGGTTCATAGACGAGTCACTTTGATCTTTGTCCTTATGTATCCTAGCAACCAGGTATTTTCAATACAACTGATACTGCAGGCCTTCTCATCCCGGAGCCACCGGTGAACATTTGCAATTGGCAGATGCAGAGGCAGGGGCGGGTGAGAGGACAGAGGGAGGTTCTGGAAGCAGCAGAGAGGAAGAGAGCAGAGGAGAGGAGAGGCCAAGGGAGTGTTTGTGGGATACATTATTGAAATGTCAGTTGCTTTGGATTGAGGCTCTTATGCATGTGATATTTGAACTATAGGATTAAAAGAAGGAAAGAGAGCATAAAGCTGTATCTATAGGAATCTAGATAAGAAGATTGGGACTGAGTGGTTGTGTTCAAACTGAACACAAATGATGCAGAGAAGGCACTCAGCAAGTATCATGGGACGCCATCAGGACAATACACATCCTACTAAACAGGTTCAGTATTGGTTTAACTGGGGTCTCTATCTTCAGTGCGTATGTGTTGTATGTGCGTGTACATGCGCTTTGTCTGTGTGAGAAAGGAGTGCCATTTAATCAGTAATGATGAGATAGTTTAAATAGGACAACTTGAAGCAATGTCTAAATTAAGCTTCTTGATACAGCCTAGTTTTTAGGTCAATTACGCATGTGAGAGACTGCCGTTCGTAAGCAGGAGAGTGAAGTCACTGTTGAGGGATTCGCTGTCACTATTGTTCTGAGATGGGGTCTATTTGTTAAACAGCATGTCCTATGGATGAGTTATCTATGCGTTACATGTGTGTTGTGTCTCACCAGCAAAATGGTTTGCATAGTTTCCTTATCAGCTCAAACATAGAGAACAATTGCATCAATATCCATTGATTTTGTGTTAGCATCAGCCTTTGCACATTGTGAATATGAGAGAAAGGTGTTCATACATCTTGGCCAGCTCTGAAAACACTCCTAAGCTAACGCACGCTCCTTCCAAAACACATACTTTGCTAGTCATTATTACCAAATCAATAGATACATTTGTTAAGGATTAATAGCTTTGCAACCGTGAGGCGCTCCTGATCCGCAATCCTGCAAATGTTTGCAATTCTGTAATCATAATCCTGTATCCAGAACATGAACTTGGCCTCTGGCATTGCTTTGTTGGCTACTACTGCTTCAGCATTAATTCTTAAAGCTGGGATAGGTGTATAGGCTTTTCTACATATTTTACAATTTTCCGTACTGTTGGAAACAATGGGCAGCTCCTCACTGTAGTGCTGTATTTACAGTTGTTGTGGATTTTGTTGTGGAGGAGCTCAGCTGGCCTGCTAGAGTTAGCCGTTCTCTTTTCACTTGACTGGCCATGGCCTGCCTGTGGACTCAGCTCCTCTGTTTCTCTGTGTCCATCACTCTCTTTCTCTTGCGCTATCTCTCTGTCGCTCTTTCTCTCTCTCTCTCTCTCTCTCTCTCTCTCTGTGCTCTCACCATCTGCCTTTATGCCTGATCTGCCTACATATCCTCTAACTGTCTCTCAGGAGAGGGGTTGGAGGGATGGGGGTAGGGAAATACTGAAATTGTGGGAAATAACAGAGAAGAAGAAGAGGAAAAATAGGGAAATGGAAGAAACATAAGAGAGGAAGAGAGAGAGAAAGGGACATTCTCAGTGTCATTAATTGTCAATGCCAGTGTACCAAATTTGGTTTGGTATCTGTGTCATCTCCATTTGTAGACATACATATGTGCACGAAGGGAATAGGCACATAGTGTGTGTGAGTCAAGCATGAGATCATGTTTATGTGCGTGTCTGAACTTCCATCTTCAAATTTCTTGCATAATAGGCTTCCTTTTAAATGATCAGTGATTAAGGTCATTTAAAAGGGGATTTCCAGTGGTGAAGGATTTTGTTGTCTTCTTCTTTCTTAGTTATTGGCTGCATTATAATTCAGTCTAATTCAATAGAATAGTCCAGCATAGCTCTTACAAAGCCATATTTGTTGGTGCTGATGCTTGCAGCTTTTGACTCACTATTGTGATAATTGTAATGTATATACACATACATACTGTATGTATCTGTCTGAATGCCCAACCCTGCTCTGAATGGATATTGGTTTATCATTTAACAACGATGATGTGACGTGGCTTCACTAGCGATCCAAGTCAGTGGTTCTATTCTTAGGATGATGTACACAGATATTATCAGCGTACATCATCATAGACCAGTGTTTAATATTGTCTTCTGTTACAGTGCGCTGTGTTCGTTGAGGGATTATGACCCATCTTTCTGTGCGCAGCATGTACTGTATAACCCTGAAAGCCTGACAGACTGATCCCAAGGGGCAACTCTGGTACATGCATGCCTCTGTGTGCGTGTGTGTGTGTGTGTGTGTGTGTGTGTGTGTCCACTGTTGATTTACTCATTGACATCGCTCCCCCTGCTGTCCCCTGTGGGCCGTTATGCTGGGAGGAATCGATAACCTTCTCCCTCGCCTTGCCTCTCCACAGTGTCTCCAGCAGAACAGCGCTCTGTAGCATTTCCATCAGCTCAAATGCTTATACACGTTGCACTGAATGGACCTGCAAATGCACACAACTGCTGTAAAGTTGTTTTGTTTTTGTTCTTAAAAAAAGCTAAAATATCAGAATTCTAACACAGAAAAGTACCATATAAACATCTGCAACGCAACCACACACACACACACACACACACACACACAAATTCAAGCTCCCTTTATCTCACTCTCTCCCTGACATTAGCTGAACAGAGTCCATTACTGCCAGGTAATGGGTGAATGTCACAATAGCAGGATGTCATAAAGCTCTGGAGTGGTCTAATGGGTTTTGTTCAGGTTGAGGTGACACATGCACACCCACACATGCACACATACAGACACACGCTCTTCCAGGAAACTATCTTCCGATGTGCTTGATGCATTTACTCATCACATCACAGCCCAGAGCCCATGTTTGAAGAGCTAATACAATCTGTTTAGGGAGGCAAATTATGAGAGTCATCTGTCACTTTGTTTAGGATTAGAGGGCTGGTTCTGCTGTTTATGTTTCAACC